GTTGTTGCCCTCCTACGGCCTCCTCCACATCTCCTGATGTACTGGCCTGTCTCCTGGTAGCGCCTCCATGCTCTGGACACTACGCTGACAGACACAGCAAACCTTCTTGCCACAGCTCGCATTGATGTGCCATCCTGGATGAGCTGCACTACCTGAGCCACTTGTGTGGGTTGTAGACTCCGTCTCATGCTATCACTAGAGTGAACGCACTGCCAGCATTCAAAAGTGACCAAACCATCAGCCAGAAAGCATAGGAACTGAGAAGTGGTCTGTGGTCACCACCTGCAGAACCACTCCTTTATTTAGGATGTCTTGCTAACTGCCTATGCTTTCCACCTGTTGTCTATTCCATTTGCACAACAGCATGTGGAATTGATTGTCAATCAGTGTTGCTACCTAAGTGGACAGTTTGATTTCACAGAAGTGTGATTGACTTGGAGTTACATTGTGTTGTTTAAGTGTTCCCTTTATTTTTTTGAGCAGTGTAGTTATTTTTGTCTGTATCAAATGCATGTAATGTCTGAGCTGTTAATATTATATGTCTTATTAAATGTAGGTGGCTCATAAAATGGAGTTCCTCTGGTATAGAGAGTCATTCCAGTTTGACGTAGATGGCTTCTTTCACTCCTTTTTCAAACCATCTGTCCTCTGTGACCAGGATGTGAACACTGTTGTCCACAAAGGAAAGTCCATTGTGCTTCAGATGCGAATGAACTGTTGAGTCTTGTCCTGATGTGTCTGCTCCTGTTCTGTTATTTCCTCCTTGATTTGAGATAGTGGAAAACACTGAGTAACATAAATGGTATAATTATGATGTATTCTGGGCCTTGAGAGAATAATGAATTTAATGTCCTGATGGATATGACATAAAGCAGTAGTATCGAGAACCCAGTGCGGCTGAAGGAACACACCATGTAGACAGGCCAACCTACAGAGAACAGACTGGATATTCTCAGGTGAATACTGGTTGATAGACAGGGGAGCTGAGGTAGGTCTCTTTCCACAGAATGGAATCCAAAATGGTGGCACGGCCAAGAAATCGCAGTTCCAGAATCTTCCAGCACACTGGAGGCCAGGAGAGGTATAGTTGAGTATAGTTGTCACAGTTTGGACCTTGCTTCCTCATTTCCTGTTATTTTTTTCCCTGTCTCTCATTACCATTCAGCCATGTCACCCTAATCAGCCATCATTTCATCCACCTGCCGCTCATTTTCTCCCGATCCAGCTCCCTATATATACGCCCCTTTTTCCATTTGTTGGCTGCTGGTTCATTGTGTTGTGTTGGTTTGATGTATTCACTACTTACTTTGTGAGCTCAATTTGTTTCTTCTGTTTGTCACCAGATGCTTCCCTGGCTCCTTGTTTTCTCATTTTCCAGAATCAACTTCCTGATCTCTAGCATGCTGCTACGCTTACATCTGCTGTACACCACTAACCTGAAAACACACCGGCTCTCCAGATCTCTAGTGTGCAGCTATACTTTCGCCAGCTGTTACGCCATTCACCAGTTCACCTGACCTCTGGGGTGCTGCTATGTCTTCCCCTGCTGGAATCACACTCACCTTCAACTTACCAGTCCTTCTGACCTTCGGGGTACTGCTACGTGTTCTCCTACGTCTTCCCTGGACCTGGCTCAGCCACCACTGCTCCTCTTCTGACACCTGCAGTCTCCTGATCACCTCTTACATCCACCAGCTACTATTCCACTCCGTCTCCTCCCTAGTTCCTCATTGTCATTGTGGTCTCCTCACCACACAACTCCAGGTTGTGCCTCACCTCCATTCTCCCAGCTACTCAGTCGATGCTCTCTTCACTGGTAGGACCTGCTGAATGTGTGTGTGTGTGTGTGTGTGTGTGTGTGTGTTTATTCTCCCTGTGTGTCATACAGTAAATACTGATTCTTTGCTCTGGGTCCAGATGTCTGCATCTTGGGGTTCATCCGTACCTGCACAGATCCTGACAATAGTGGACAAGTAGCACCAACTAAAAAGCATATGTCTGTGGTCACATGCTATATGCTGAATGTCAAAGTGAACAAGCAAAAGGATTCAAAACAAGGCGGCTGGCACAGGCAAGTGATTGTACTCCTCAACAGTGAGGAAACGTTGAAAAGCACACACAAGAACCATATAAAAATACATGAACAAAAACCGTCCACTTCAGGTGGCACAACAAAAAGCAAAACAAACAAAAGGCCTCACATGAAAAAATACAGCAAACTTATTGTACTAGGAAGTCCCATTGACATCAAGAGCTCTTTTTCAAGGGAGACCTGGCCAAGATGGCAGCCAGAGCTCAGTGAATGGAAGAGGGCAAAACAGAGAGCAGAGGTACAGGCAGCCGGTGTGTAGATCCAACAGTTAGCAAACTGTTCAGAAAGGTAAAAAAGTAGGCAGAGAGCAAAGGTTACACAGCAGGTAAGGGCTAGGTAGATGGCATGCCCAACAGGCACCAATAGTTCCGAAAACCAGCAGGTGTAGGTCAGAGAATAGGCAGCAGAAAACAGCTGGACTGAACTGCACAGCAGTGAATGCTCAGCAGGTAGGGGAATCAAAAACAGGTTTCAGATTTGGTAACATGAGATGGCTGAACAGCACTGTAGGGTAGTCATTAATAATCTGACCTCTGAGTAGTAGTAGGAGACAGGTTATATAAGCCACAGTGATGAGACAGATGACAGCAGTTTCCCACGTGCGGCAGCAGATTGGCTACAATCAGCAGTAGCCAGAGATAAAACAGGGCACTAGACTAGCCTGCCCTGAAACCAGGAAGTAGTGCTAAACATGACACCTAATGTTCAATGTAATCACAAAATATAGAGAACATTAAAACATTTTTTGGGATTCATCATGCATTCATTCATTCAACTTTCACCCTATGTGTGTTAGAAGCCTGGTGATTGGGTGCCAGAATGCAAGTTTGAAATGAAACACACCACCCTGAAAGTATCTGCTCTTGGAAGCTCAGCAGGGTTTGGCCTGGTTAGTACTTGAATGAGCAACTGGTTTGGAATACGAAGTGCTGTAAGCCTTTTTTTGGTGTGTGAGGTTGGGGGCTGTGGCTCAGGAAGGTCGGTGGTTCGATTCCCATTCACCCCAGTCTACAAGTCGAATTGTTCTTGGGCAAGACACTGAAGCCCCGGTTCACCTTTATTCAGAGAGATGCAGATCCAGATGCAGGAAAGAGGGGAATGACATAGGGCAACATAGCAGGTGGAGGTTGGCAACAGGCAGGCAAAAACACCAACAATCAACATAAAAAGTAGCTGGCAAAAAGCAGATCCCAAAAACATGCAGGTGCTGAAAAGAACAGGCAGAATGCACACAGGAAGAATTACTAGAAAGCTACAGCCTGCTGGCACAGTGGAAGTGGGCTGGTATATGTATGTAGGTAGTGGTAGCTAGTGGGGGAACAGAAAACAGATATGCAGGTGGGTGTGGCTGAATCTGAAACAACACCAGAGCTAATGGAATGGCAATGCAAGCAAAGAATGACTCAGTGATTATGAATGAACTGTAACAGTCATACATCAGAAAAGCTGTTTGTCACTCAATCTCATTATTATAGTACTAATTAGTAACAGGAATCAAAATAAAAGATACAATAAAGTATAAATAAAATGGTAACATTTAGTGGATCATGATGTCTGATGTGTCACAGAATACTGAGTAACCCTTATCTTCTTATTATGAGTCTTTTCTCATATGTATAAGCTAGAAGGTGTTGTACAGAACATCTTTAGTGTATTTGCTGCAAAGTTCACCTTGACCAACATAACAGATAATCAGGTGGTAAAAGAGTCCCCAGGTTAAATGGCCTTTTCATATTATAATCTTTAAGACAATGAAATCAACTTTTCATACATGAGCTGTTGTTGTCACATGTCACTGTGTTTAGCTCAGCTGCCTCAGGGTGATGAGACCAGTGATGTGACTGGCTGAGAGTTTGCTTAACAGTCACCCCACCCCCTGATTTCTGTTCACCTTCAGCCAGACTTTTGGCACCTTCTTTTTTACTGACTTTGTCTTAACACAAATAAACTTGTTTTTCTTGTTTTGTTTGTGTTGTTCTGTTCAGCTTTGTTTTGTTAATCAGTGTGAGAGGGACAGATAGACAGCACAACCAACAAGACAACTAACCATGCAGAGCTTTGTTTTGTTAATCAGTGTGAGAGGAACAGATAGCCAGCAAAACCAACAAGACAACTAACCATGCAGGCATGAAAGCCTCTGGGAGGGAGGGAGATGATATCATTCTGGCTCGTCCTGTGCTCTGTGATTAGATACTCAGTTTTATTGCAGGTGAATTCACATTGCAGTTGATCACATTCACATATTTTCAGTTTTGATTGTTAGTTGTCAAAAGTAATGTCAAATCTGCTCACAGGCTATATAGTACTTACAGTACACTACATTAACCAGCTGTTATGGTCGCCCCCCTCACCAGGTGGGTGAGGGAGAACAAAGGTAGGACTCAAGTATGCTGACCCAGGTGCTAGGGTGAAAAAATGACGGTTTACTGGTAAAACAACACAAAGTAACATAACAAAGGCCAAGTCCACTTATACAGTCCGGGGTGGAGTGAAGATGGTTAAAGAGACCAGAATAAACAGGTGAGTTGACGGCGGATGCGGATGAGAGAGAGAAAAAAAGGAACAAAAGAAACAAACAACCAAAACCCAACGTACAGTCACTGTCAGCGTTGGGAGTAGTAAGTTTGCGAAACGCATCAATGTCATGATCAAGAAGCAGGTCGCGCCGAGTGGACCTGACACCAGCAGTCACTACCAAGGTGGTGTGCTGCAGATCAAATCATTATTTTGTTTTTGCTACATCATCTGACAACATTAACAGAAACAAACATTTGAATAGCATGAGTACACATAGCAAAATACTCCAATATCAGGAAAAAAGACAAATATTAAACTGTTTTATATGCATCGTCTTTTATTTGCTTATGTGATTTTGTTGTATGAACAACTTTACGTCAAATAAGAACATGCATATGAGAGCAGGACTATGATATGTGATATTTTAACAAGTTTTGTTCACATTTGATTAATGATGTAAGATTTCATGACACATTGAATTTACTTGGCAATAGGGAGTAAAAACAGGACACACGAGGTGAAAGTGTACATGCAACAAAATTCCAGATACACGTGAAGCACTGTTACAGTTTGCACACTTCTTAGACTTGATTAATACCCCACAATAATGTTTAATAAAAAAAAAACATCATTTTTCATATTAAAAATTACAGTTGACTTTTTCTGTATTTAACCAAGACAACAATCTCTCTTTCTCCAACCTTGGCCATGTGCTTTGAGTCGCCTAAACAGGATCACAAAGACCTTGACTATACTTCGGTTGCCAGGAATGAATATTTTAGGAAAACAAATTGAAAATCATCATTTTAAAATATCTTTTCAAAAACAGTCCCTCTTCTGTTAACAAAAAGGTTTCAAATATTAATGAACCACCAGAGGTAATTTGGAACATCTTAAAAGTATCAATGCGTTATTTAAAATTGGCTGCTAGTCTAGAGGTATTTGTTCATAACATACCTTTTATATCAAATTCACTTATGTAATTGTTAAGTTGGTTAGACTGCATTTCAGGTTTAATCAAATTACACAGTGAAACCAAGAATCACAAACCAAGGATACAGACAATGTAGATTAATGTATAATTGTTAGGCATTTTGAAAACATTTAAAGATGATTCTCCATTTCAAAAACTGAAATTTTTCAAGAAAACAGAAAAAACATCTAATTTACACCCTCTTACCACTGTGATTAGCTTTCTTTCTTTACAAGGTTTTGAATTTAGGTGAACCATCAGCTTATTGTGGGCAATTCACTATTTACAGAATATTTTGAAAACTCCCTGTGACACCATCTCATTGACAAGTAGCAGCAAGGTGCCAAATGGCTCACCCACTGTCGCATCTAAGATGACTTTAACTGCCTTCTCCAAAGTATCTTTTTCAGTATTCATTTTATTCACGACTTCCTTTAGCTTTTTCTGCATTTCTTGCATTTTATCATCAAACTGATCCTCTTTGCTTTTGGCAACCATGCTGTTGATTTTCTTCAGCAGGTCATGTACTTGATTGGGATTTTTGTTACTGGCAGTAAAGTCAAAGAATCCCCCACCAAACTCTATAGGAGTCATCTCTTTTTTCACTTTTTCTCTAAAGAGTGTAATCCCTGTTTCGTCACACCGGTATGCATTATAGACCAAGCAACAGTATTTCTTGAACCCTTCACCAAAAATCTCCCAGAATGTTTTCATTGCAGTCTTATCTTCCTCTGTTATGCTGTGCGGTTTCACCACATACAGGAACACACACGGACCAGGACTAGCACTTAGGATGGATGAAAGGATCTCTTTCTTTACTTCATTGCTTTCTAGCTTGGTGTTACACAGACCTGGAGTATCAACAACAGCCAGTTTTTGTCCATCAAACTCTCTTCTTTCCGTCCTGCACTTAGTTGTCTCTGAGGCAGCAGAGAAATCAGGTTTCACTCCAGGTCTCTCCAGAATGGCATTCATAATTGAAGTCTTCCCAGAGCCAGTCTTCCCAATAAGGACAATCTTTAACTCTGTTGGAGAATTTCAGACAATGTTAATATTGAAAGTTATACAGTTCTGTTACAGTGGATCAGAGGCTAGACAGGAAGTGGCATCAGAACCTGGCTCTCTATTACGTATAGATGGAAGCAGGCCACTTAGAGAGAGGGTCAGGGAATCAACATAATTTTTTGATCCACTATGATCATCCTCTCACCTTAAAAGTGCCCATGAAATGCTTTTCCTTGTTTTCTGACTTATGTACAATGTTGAATTGAATGAATTATCTTAGATGAGTAACAGGCAACCACATATGTTCGCAACAGGTAGCATTGTACTGACAATAACATCATGGATCATTAGAATCCTCTCACCAACCTGCAACACATCACATGCGGCAGACACAACAGCCACACAGTCATAAAGCTCAAAAAATGAAATGTACATATGTTCTAGTACTTCTATGCAGAAGCAACTTGGTTTATATAAGTCTCACAAACTGTTGCTGACAAGAGGTTTTTTTCCAACTGTATAAAGTCTTACGCAATAGTTCACAGATTTTCTTGAATGTTCATAATCTCCAGGCATTTGTGCATTCATGTGAGCTTGCCTGACATCCATCGGTGCCATTGTAAAAGTGGAATTTTTCTATTATGCCCAATTTTGTGGATATATTTACCTCCTGCTGCTGCTGCACTGTGACCAGAAGATGTGGAAAAAATACAGGACCTGAGGTTACTGCATGTCTGGGAATGTTCATGTACAGAGACCTGCTGTTTTACCTGGGGTCTAACCTGGGATCAGCTGGGCAGTGAAGCACCCTGGGACAATGAATGATCAGCTCATCAACGCTGGATTCCCCCTGGAGCACAGTACCTGTTTGTTTTGACTGTGTGGCTGTTGTGTCTGCCGCATGTGATGTGTTGCAGGTTGGTGAGAGGATTCTAATGATCCATGATGTTATTGTCAGTACAATGCTACCTGTTGCGAACATATGTGGTTGCCTGTTACTCATTATGCTGGTTAAAATATAGGGTCTCTCAATTACCTGCTTTGTTTAGAGTGTTACAAATCTCTTTTCATCAGTATGTTAGGTATTTTTAGTCAGATAGATATTGGTTAGGTACTTGTATGTATTAGAAATGTTTAGTGGAGACAGGATGTCTAGCTTAGGCTGTTAAATGCTTA